TTTCCAGCAGCAGCAGCAGCAGCAGCAGCAGCAGCAGCTCGCTGCCGCTGCTGCTTTAAGGAAGCCCAGGAAACAAGGGAGAAGAAGTCTGACGCTGAGAACGCCAGGTCATCAATCCGTTTAAACTCATCTGCAACAAACGCCAGATTTTCTGTGAAGCCGCTGCAGCAGCAGCACCTACTGCTGCCACAGCAGTTGCTGCTACTGCTTCTGCCAGTGCCTCCGCTGCTGCTGAAAAGACGACAAGAAAATATGCGCCCCGACCTCATAGCCACTAGCAGCAAAAGGAAGGCAGGAGCAGCAGCAGCAGGGCAGAGACGTGTCAGCAAGGAAGATGGGTCCCCCACGGGTTGTTCCTCAGTTGCTGCTGTCACCTCTGCTGCTGCTGCTGCTGCTGCTGCTGCTGCTGCTGCTAGTGCTGCTGCTCCCACTTCTGCTGCGTTTGCATGGGGGTTGAACAGCTTACCCAGCGAACCCCAGCCGCGGTAAGCCTCCACCCACAGCACCGAGTCAGTTCCCTGCTGCTGTTGCTGCTCCTGCTGCTGCGACCAGCAGCAGAGCCCCTGCAACGGCAGCAGAAACTGCGGCGCCCACACCTTCTCTGCTGCAGCTGCCGGTGAGCGCGGAAGCTCAAGCTTCGGCTGCGCATCACAAGGAGGGGCCAGGCGGCCCTGCGATAGCCCGAAAAGCAAAGCGTCTGTGGTAAGCAGCAGCAACAGCAGCGGCGGCTTTTGCTGCTGCTGCTGCTGCTGTTGATTGTGCTGCTGCATCCCATGAAGGCGGGTAAATGCCATGGAGGAGATGGTGCGGCTAAAGAGGCATCCAGAAGACGGCACAGTCAGCGTCATTCCAGCAGAGAGTGTCAGAAGCAGCAACTGCTGCTGCTGCTGCTGCTGCTGTCCTTCCCTTGCCTCTCTGTCCCTCTGCTTGTTTTTCCTTCTGGGGCAAACAACAACAGCAGCAATATCAGCATCAGCATCCACTGCCAGCAGCGACACGTACACCCCGTGGCCTGGCCTGTAGCTCCACAAGACCTGCAGAAGCCGCACACACGCCGGCAGCAAAAGCATTTACCGCAGCAGCAGCAGCAGCAGCAGGTGCAGCAGCAGGTGCAACAGCAGACACACGCGGCGCAGCACCCCGAAGCACCCACACTGCAGCAGCAATAGCAACAACCGCAGACTGTAACAGTTGAGTGAAGCTTACTGTCTCCTTTTCTGTCGTCTCACAGCCATTGCTACTACAGCTGCTGCTGCTACTGCTGCTGCTGCTGCTGCTGTCAGTTCTGCGGTTACTGTCGCAGTTGTCTCTTGCTACGGAGACACAAACAATGCATGGATCCTCGCTAGAATGCACCCACGCATCGCCTTTTGCTTGAGCTGCTGCTTCTGCTGCTGCTGCTGCTGCTGCTGCTGCGGTGCGCTGCCTCTTGGGGGCGCGTGGGTGTTCGTTCACTGCGTACACCCACCGCTTCTGTCCTGGGGTAAACACGCACCAGCAGCAGCAGCAGCAGCACTTTCTAAATAAACAATGGCACATGCAGAATGAACTCCACTGCAGAAATGCGACAGCAGAAAGCGGAAGCGAGATTGAGGAGGCTGTAGCATCAGCTGCTGTAGCTGCTGCGGCGCTGCTGCAGCAGCAGCAGTGCCGCAGCAGCAGCGCCGCAGGTGCAACAGTAGCAGCAAGGCTGCAGACAAGCTAACCTTTGACTATAAAGGAAACTGCTAAGGAAGGCAGCAGGCGCGGAGACGGCAGCAGCTCCATGGCCTGCTGCAGTTGAAGTGCTGGTTGCTGCTGCTGCACCGGCTGCTGCTGCAGTGGCTGCAGCGGCACCTGTCGCACTAAACCGACCCTCTCTTGCAACTCAGCTGTGGGCCTCGTTGCTGTTGCTGCTGCCTGTCTAGCAGTCTTTCGAGGGCTTGCTGCAGCAGCTGCAGCTGCTATGGCTGCTGCTGCTGCTGCCTTGCTGGGTCTGAAGCGCAGCACTGCTGCTGAGCGGGGAGAAGCCTCACCCTCTGTGTCTTCTGCATCTGCAGCACTGCTTTGCTGCTGCTGCTGCTGCTGCCTTGACTTTGGGGTCCTCGGCTCTGCAGCTGCTGCAGCTCCCTTTGTTGTTCTTCCTAGCTCTTGGTGGTCTTGCTGCTGCTGCTGCTGTTGCGTGGCTGCGGTCGAAGCTTCTCTGTCTGCGTCTGTTTCGTCTGCCGTGCTGCTGTTGCTGCTGCTGCTGCCCTCTGCCGCTGCTGCAGCGATGGCCGCTTGCTCTGCTGCTTCTGCTGCCTCATCTTCCTCCTCTTCCTCGCGCTGCAGCCGCTGCAGCAGCAGCTGCTGCTGTTTGTGTCGCAGCGCAAACGGGTTCCAGTCCTCCCACGACACTGCAGGGTCGTCAAAGGTAAAAGCAGCACCAGCAGCAGCAGCAGCAGCAGCAGCAGGCCGCGGCTCCTCCTCCTCAGCTTCGCTGTCTTCTGCTTCTGACCCTTCAGGGGAATTAAGTGACAGCCTTAGGCCTCGTTTGCCGTCTCTGCCGTCTCCCTCGTCTCCGCCTCCGCCAAAGCTGCTGCTGCTGCTGCTGCTGCTGCTGCCGCCGGATTTGCTGCCG